TGCCCTAATCACCATGAAAAATGTGCATAATATTTGGTAGTGAAAAATCCATTTCTTTTGAGCGATTTACTTCGCATGGAAAGAAGTCAGGATTCTTCCTTTCAGGAAAGGGGGAAATCTCTGCAGCTTGGTGGTTAGGAAACTGACTTAGGAGTGTGGTGGTCTAGTTTCTGTGTACTGCTCCCAGTGCCGTTCTAGGTGTCATTGAATTGTTCTGTAATGGTAATGTAAAGTCATCTCTAATGGGATTGCTGAGTCTAATGAGATAGATAGAGAAATATCCCCATGTTCAGAACAAACTGAGGATTAGGCAGAAATGAGGCACAAGCACCCTTAAACAAATGAATTTGCATAACAGGACTTCAACTTTATGGCAAAGTTGAAATTATATTCAGTCAGGTATGGGTTGGTCATATACATCAATGTCTCATCTGTGGATGTAGGCATGAGGCTCTTTAACTTCAGTCTTACTTAGCCGTTCTAAACCAGCACACAGAATCTGAGACCTCTTTTTCGCAGGATGCATCTTTTATTTACGTCTCCAAATCCTCTGTCTTATTTCTGGAGAGCCTAGACAAAGCTTGTGAAGGGTTTACACCTGTTACAGAACTATTAACACCAACTGAAGGAATGAAAACCTAGGTTCATAATCTCTGCCTCTTTCATAAAATGGGTAACCAAAAGCTTAAGTCTGCATAACCTGTTCTTAAGCTTTCAGTGACAAAGATGGTATAATTTGACCAAGCAATCTTTTTTCATTCTTCATTAACTTGGGATTTTTTTCTAATACTTCAGATGTGCAATTAGCATGACAATCTAAGGAGATTTCCTTAGCACTGAAGCTTTCCCATTGCCCTTCCTTTTCCTCCTGCTTTCAAAGATGAATATGGGAAAATAGAGGGAATGTTGAAAATTCCTGAGTATAAGCAATAAAAGCAAACAGAATTTTCTACACTAGACTGAAGTGAACTCCTCAATGATAAGCTCTGTATACTTGTATACTTAAAAGCACTGTATACTTGTACTGTTGCCACAGTTAAGCCAAGGAATTTAAACTCTTTAAGATCTTTATCTCTTATGCTTTTGAATTTACTGCTTAAAGTCAGACTTCTTTAAATCTGAAGGGTCAGTTAAATAGGAACAGTTCATATAGTGCTGCATGCAAATCCCTCAGTGTTTTCCCTTTAAGCAATGTGATGATCAGGAAAAGAAAAACTATGATTATGTCAAATTCCTGTTCAAAATGTCTGAAAAAGAACAGCTTTATCTTGTGCATCCATGAGGCAATGAATAAACAGTTATTTTTGTGGGGCAATTCTGTTTCAGACAAGGCAGGATATCACATGTTGTAGACTCTGCATAGCCGGCCTGTGTCATTCATCCAATTTTGCCTCTCAGTTTTATGCATAACAATAATTGCCACAGAACAGAGCTTTTTCAATATGTGATGTATTGTTGAATGTGCTGGGGGGGAATCATGCCTTTTTCAGAATGTTTTTTCTCTGAATAACTGTGCTAATGAGTGGCATGGGAAACACTTGGATAATAAACCATAATCCATAATAACTAGATTCTACAATTTTAAAATGTAATTCAGATTGTTCCAGAGCATAGGCTGCACTAGATACTGCATCCTTGAGCACAAAACTTTATATTGCTTCTGGAGGGATTTCCAAGTGGTGGAATTTGTTCAGTGCTTGCCTTCCCTGAAATACAAAAGGAAAGACAGAGGAAACCATAGAGGCCAGGCAAAATGTTGGATGCTGGGTTAGCTGCTGCCCTTCTCCTCACTGCTGAGAAAGATAAGAACAGAGGCTCAATTAGCTGGATGCTCATGATGTGCCCCTTCGCACTGAGAAGGAGAAATTCTGTCACAGGGAGGGAAGTTTCATCATTTCTTGGATATTGGAGATTAGAGATATTGGTCAAAGTTCTTGACAAGCTTATTTCTGGTTTATAGAGATATGGGTCTCATCAGGGACTTCTGAATAGCATTGCATTATGCCGTATGGCATTTCGTTAAGGCACAAAGGGCTATTCAGCAGTACCTGAATAACATCCTTGAAAAGTCTACCTTCAGTGACAGAGGTAGGTGTCTAAGTGATGGACATAGGTGCTGCAATAGGCACCTTTCAGGATCTAGTTCAGTCTTGGTTGACAAGGGAAACATTCAAAATGCCCAGAGGTAAATAGCACACAAATATCACAGTAGAAAACCGTAAGCATTTCAGGGATCTTGCCTCTGACCTAATCGTTCTCATCTATGTCATCTTATGTGTCTGGATCTACCAAAGGCTGAGCCTTGTTCCACTTTTGTCTTTACGTATTTAGACTCCCTCCTGCAAAATAATCTGAAGGGTCGTTTTGTTCATTAAAGAACATATGGAACAGGACACAACTCCCTTCCTAGTGATTTGGAGGGCATACTTGGAAGTGCTGGGTCCATGCTCCCAATACTGCTGCACAATGTACAGCGTAACCAGTTTTCATGAGTAGGTCATGCATTAAAACAGACCACTTCTCTAAATGGCTGTATTTTTTGTCATATATATTTGTCCCTAGAGGGGTAATATATCTTGACCATCCTGGGAGCAGACAAGAGCTTTCTCAAGATGGATATAGGACTGCAACACTGACTCATGAATGAGTTATTGCAGAGTACCAAGTAATACTACAATAGGTGTTCTCCCAGAATTGCCTGTGTTGCAAGTTTTTTCTTTTCCTATGGTCATGTAAGGTGACACAAATGCTGGCAGTGGGATTGTATTTCAGATTGAGGTACGTGAAAAGTGTAGATTTAGGGATATATTTTTATTTGGGATATTTTTCTGAGATATTGGAAAGAAATAGGGATTCCTGTACTGGAAATAAGTGAGTAAACTAGTGTGAACTTTTAAAGTGACCTTCCTTGCTGCTCAGTGTTATGCTGCTTCCTTGATATTATGTATGCCTGGGTCTTGGCAGTCTTACAGTAAATCTAAGAATTATCAGTTTCACTTGAAGAAGGTAGACATAAAATGCCCTCTCAAGATCAGGAATCATAACATCTTATCTTCGCTTGAAGTCAAAATAAGTGCCTCTTCCTTTTGTAGTTAACTTCAGTCTCACAGTAAGGTGCATCTACCACCAGCTATTACTGCAGTCCTAGTATTTTTTAAGCTAATATTATCTCTATTTTAGTTTAAAATTGGCTACCTTTTGGTTGTTGGAGATTAAATACCAAGTGCTCTGACTTTGTACTTCTTTGGATCTTGGGATTTTACAAGACCTGTTTCTGTTCCTTCCATTTCTTTCTGTGCACAGTTAAAGCAGAGTCATCCTCAGCTGTATTATGCCTAGACTCATGATCAGAGTGTCCACAGGCCTTTCAGAGGGAATTAATCTGTGTTCCCAACAGCTCTGTTCTCTGCCTCCTGTAAAACTGTCTGAAATCATACTTTCCTATTTTACTTCTCACTCTAAATTCTTCAGTTGCTTTGTTTCGCTGTTTTTTTTCTCTCTGACTTCTCATACTCTTATAACATTCATTTCCACTCCTGCAGCATCAAAGAACGAGATTCGTTTCTTTGAGGTATCTGGGTTGCTTGTGATGCAGAGATGAAAGGGCACCTTTCCACACAGTGCCATGACATTGTCAGGAATATATAATATGAGTATGAATTCATAGTTTGCATTACTTTGAATTGTCAATTGTATTTGAATTCAGAGGAAATAACCTGAAGCTTAAAAAAGATTTGGAGAAAAATGTGGTACTGTTAGTTGTTGCTTGCTTTCAAGCTGCATTTGGCAGCAGCAAAAATACTGTGTTCCACATATTTACATATTTACATACTTCTTCCAAACAACCCTTTTGTGAAAGCAGCTGCAGCTAGACATTTGAATAATGCCAGTAGAATAACTGTGCATTTGCCTTGCTAATTTAAATGGAGAGTTTTGCAAATACAAAGGCTTCATATATATATTTGGGCTCCTGAATGACTAGATCTAGTCTAAGGAATTTTTCAGGAACTCAGCAGGTGGTAGCACAATCAGGTGCTAACTTGCTGCATTCAGATCTCAGTTATGTATTTATAACTCAAGAAACTTAGGCTGAATTATTGGTGTGATCAAATGTAGTAATTTGCTTTTGAGTACTTGAGTCAAAATTCTCCTCACAAGAACTGTGCATTCTATAGCTTGGGTTCCTCTAAGCTTCCTGCAATACCTTTCTTTTGTTGAGGCAAAACTGAGTTTCAAATAAGAATTCATCTTCTGCATTATTATCTGCAGAGAAAAATTGCTTCACTTGAGAATATGTACCCTGATAAAAATACACAAGCTGTTCAAGGAGTTCTAAAATACTTCCTCAGGACAAAAACATTCAGATTTCACACATTTTGCCTGTAAAATTACTTGCATTAAAATTAGTGATTCAATATTAGTAAAATGCTTATGAGTTTTTGTAACGCTTAAAAAAAAATCACCTGCATATATAAAGGTTTGGAATTTTAAAGAATTATCTGAAGAATTCTGAAGACTAGTAAAAAATACACTTATCCAGATCATTTGCACATAAGAAAGCATAAATCTTGATAGCTTCTTTTTAGTGACAAAGTCGTTCTGTAACAACATAGGATAGTGCAACAACTTCCTGGAAATGTAATTAAAGGTCTTCTTATCTCATTCCAGTTTCTTACTTTGTTTCACACTGACACAAGACTATAGAATTCATGAAGATACATAAACTAATTTCTCTACTTAGTCTCTGAAATAAGCTGCTTTGTCTTCCGTAATATTGAGTGGTAGAAACAGTGAGACGCACATAAACTAGTTGGGCTGACATGATGAAAAAATTGAAAAGTTTTTCCATACCCTCAAAAGCAGGAAGTCAGTTGCAAGAAACTAAATTGCATGTTATTAGAAATACATTTAAAATTTCTTGGTTACATCCACTGCAGTTTTAGTACCAAATTTAATGCAGCCACATAATAAAAAGTAAATGAATAGAGCTCTGTACTTACCATAGTTTCAGCCTCTCTGTCTCTACAAGTCTGCTAAAGAGTATGCACTGTACTAGGGAGAGTCAAAAATGTTCTTTGTCCTTCACTGTGCACTTCCTTTTTTGAAAGTGTATGTGGTCTATCCAGCCTTCACAGGAAAAGATATCAGCAAAATCCTTGTTTTGCATATTATCAGAGGCCTAACAGAATTAACAGCATTTGTTTGGGATACACTGCTCTACTGTGAAGGACAAATGACAGTGAATAAACGTTCATTCATTTTATGACCTCTAAGATGATAATGAAAAAATAGGTCTATGCTGATGAGAAAATCATATAGTTATGTTTCACTAAACTTTGCCTGAATTTAAAAAAAAAAAAAAAAAAGTTCTAGATTTTCATACTCACAATCTCTGAGCATTTTTGTATTTAGGCTTTACTATCAACTCCACGTACCTCTCCTCTTTGCTCATATTTTTGTGGATGTTAAAAATTGAAGCCATTTTCTGCACCTAATAAGCTGCACTGTATGTTTCTGTTTGCTAACCCCTGATTGTTCAGACCCTTATAATCAACATGAGTGGAAAGGTAGGGTTGTCCTGCTCAAGCACGTTATTGAATTCAAGTCATGCTACGATCAACCTTATGCACAAGAGAAAAAGGGTATTTGGCCATAAATCTCACTGAGTTGGGCCTAATGAAGAGAGCTAAAAAGAGGTATTTTTCAGCCACCGAATGAGAAGAGATAGAGGAAGGAAAGAGGAGCTGCTTGCTGGGGGAGGGAGAACACTGATGATTTTGGGTGTTGTCCATCTATTAAGTAAAAACTCATCGAGTTTCTATTAAGCAAGACTGAGGCACTGGGGAACTACTATGAAATAGTACTATAGTGCATATGAAGTAGTGGGGATGAAATGATAGTGAAACAGTGGAAAATATGACATCTGTAGCACAAGCAGGACATGAGCTGCATTCTGTGATGAAATCAGGATTTCCCCACAGTCTCAGTACTAAAGCACTGAAAGAACTGCTGCATGTCATTGCAAGCTCCAAACTCTTTTCGATTTTGATTATTCAAATAAACTATATATCAAAATAAGCATCAGAACCCACTGTGTAGTGGTAAGAATAAAATATATTGCTTATTTTCTAAAAGGTAGAAAGTTACTAGGAGAGACACAGGCTTATTTGCTTAAGAACAATACTGTGCAACTCTGATTTGATTGAAGGAACAATTTGGAATTGAGAAAATCAGATATATGTAAGTATATTAGCAAGTTTCATTAATGATGGGTTATGTCTGAATAACTTAATATCCTTTAAAACTATTTCAACTGGCACTTGAGGTAAAGCGTAATGAAATCTATCTAGATTTAAGCAGACTATTTTATATAATGTCCTTTTATTAATTTTAAATGATGAAGTTGGGGAGAGGACAAAGACTGTCAGAATAATTTCAAGGTAGACAAGGTGCTGACTAAGGTAGTCTTAGTTTAAAAGCACAAGAGGAATTCCTGCATGTTCCTGAGATTGTCAGCAGTGTTCTGCAGGCTCAGGTCTTGGGCTTGATCCTGTCTGTTACTTGTGTCAGGAACCTTGATGCATGACCTGGACTTTTCCTAACCTGGTGAGACTGGATGGTATGGCTGGTTCTGGGGCAAAATCAGATCACACAGAAAGGAGGAGAAGAGTTTGTGTACTGGAGAGTAGAAGGCAAGCCAAACTTTATTAAAGCCGTAGAGGCCTTGGGAACTCATGCTATCCTACTTTGTTTTGTGTGGTTTGATGTTTTTGTAAGAGTTTTTGGACTCATTTATGGTGAGCAGGAGGTGGGGAATGAATGTTCCAAGAGACTCCTCCAGACATGGGCTCCCTGGCAGCAAAGGATTGGTCTTGTTCATCTGGTAGCTTCTGTCTTTCTTCCCCGCCAGATTGCTCACCCTGTAGATGCTTGTTCCTAACGTTTAGAAATAAATGTGTTTTCTTGGGTCTTCCATCTAGATCTCCTCCTGTCTAGTAGAATAGCTTAGGTCAGAGTAGTGCCTTTTCTTAAATGGGGACATTGATTTATTTCTGCCTGGTTAACTTTGTTCCCCTTCATTAAATTTCTAGGAATTTTGTATGTGTGAGAGCTATGCATCCTCCTCACATGCAACCAAATTTTCTTGCTGTTGACCATCACGTTAAAAAGTTATTGAGGCAGACTGACAAACCAATGCAGCCTTGATTTCTTTGCAAGTGCTGCTAACACTCAGTTCCTGTATCTCTTTGTGATTTACCTCTGCTTTTGAATCAAAGTCTATAATACAAAATACAATATGAAGCTTTCAGCAAACATTTGGATGACTAACAACTCTAGTAAGGCCGAATGTCTTTAAAAGTATTAATGGTTCAGGGTCATAATTAGATATAAGACATGTACCCACATGTGGATATATGTGGATATAAATCCACAAGGGCAATTTATGAAGAATGACAACTCCCTCAGATTCTATGCTAATTATATACCATCAGTCAGCCGAAGGCATTTGTTTTTCTGATATTGACACTGGAGTTCTTAAAAATGGGCTTGAAAACACCTACCACAAACAAGGGACAAGGGAGCCCCGTTATGCTCATTCATGGTCTAATGACAGCGGCAGGTAAGTAAAAGAAGGAGCACAGCCACTGCAGCAGTTCACCTCCATTAAAGTGTTTATTGATTTAATACTTTGTTTTGATTAGTGATGATTTAAGCTGTGGATGGATTGTAAGTCCTGGTGTTTCATTGCTTTACTGTCCAGCAGGAACTTTGATTTGTAAAATTGCTTGAAATTCATTTGTTTCGTCTAAAAAAGAAGAAATAATAATGAAGAAATGATAGCATATAGTTACTGCAACAAAATCAGACACTTGCATATATTGCTCAACATTTTAGGTGAATTTATACTCATGCATTAATATGCGGCAGTGTGCATTAATGCATATTTAATGATTGCACTGCCTCTTAAATATGGTTGTAATAACTCTTGCAAAGAATTAGTCAAAACAGGTACTGTGACTTTCAGAAGCCTTGAGTATGTAATTTCTACCAGTTTCAGTTGGAAGAATGAGTGCCTAACATGTCTGAAATTTTAGGAGCCAAAGTTTGGTTAATATTTTTTAAAAAGTCTTCACTAAGCCATATAAGAGGAAACATATCTGAATATGTATGTCATGAATAATTATCATGCTATTTAGCATGGTGGCTGACTATAAATATCTCTGATGTACTGCAGAAATAAAATTAAGCTGTTCATGAGAATTTTAAAATAGAGACAGCTGCACTGCATCAGTCAAAGGCAAATTTGATATCCTGTTTCTAGTAGCAGGCAGCAGCCTGGTGAAGAATATGCATGAACAGGGAAACACAGAAATACTTCTCCAGAATACTTCCCCATTCCCCCAAAACTGACACTTCAGAATCTTGCAGAGCTAGTGTCACTATCTGCATGTTTTGAGAGCCTTGTGTTAATTTGTCCTGAGCTTTTTAAAATGCATACTTAAGTTTATGTATATTGTGTGAAGGACCATTCTTCAGTTTCTTCTGCATAGTTTAATTTATGGTCCCCTAGTTTTTATATTTGTCTTTCTCATGTCACTCATGATTTTAAAGCTCTGCACTTTATTTCCTCATTTGCCTTTCTTCCAACTCCTGAAATAAATTATGGAAACAGAAGCTTTGACAGCCTGGAGATAGGGTGCTGATGAAAGCAGTGTGTAATTCTCCTAGGCCTATTGGATTCCCTGAATGTCAGCATGTGCCCAGCTTTCTTCGGGGTGCTTCACAAGTAGATTAGTGGGCATAGCTGGACTCTACTGAAGATGAGATAGAGCTGGCACAGAAGATATCTTCTCATACGCATCTTGGTCTCAGTGGAGGTCATTTTGCATGGCTTCCCATCATGATGTTTCAATGATGGCATGCCCAGGATCCTCTCCCTATCTTGCCACCTCTTTTCATGTTGTAGGTTGCAGGGGCAAAGGAACTTCTAGTAACCCATCAAGCCTAAAACTCAAACCATTTCTCCTGGACCTGAAGATTTTTATTCTCAAATCCATGGGGTGTGCAAGTTTCTTGTGCCAGTCCTCACAATACATTTTTTTTTCCTTTGCTTTGGAGGGTTATTTTAAAATTCAAAATTGAAGAAAACTTCTTGCTGAAAAATATCTAAATCCTTCAAGCATCTTCAACATTGTTAGTGGAATGCTCCAAATGTTGGCTGACCATTCATTCTCAACAGCAATAATACATTAGTATGTGAGAAGTGCTGCTTACCTGTTTTGAACTGCGTAGCTATTTTGCTTCACCACAGGGCCGTTTTTCAATGCTTTCTCCTTGGCATGGCCTGCCACCAGCTTCCGGTGCAGGGTTATTGCACACACGAGTTCGAGTGCTTTCTCCTCTCACGCAGGCAGACCAGGCACTCCAGCAGCTCCAGCCTCCATCGGTGACAACTGATATAAAGACACCATGGTAAGATTAGTGCAGCATCTCTCTGCCATGCTAAGATTAGTGCGGCATCTCTCTGACTTCTGAGCAGTAACAGCGATATCATTAAACAGACTTTTTTTAAGGGTGGATAAGATGGATCGTGGTTCAGTTCTTGCTTTTTCAGCTGTGGTGATTCTACAAATTATTGCATATTCTGGCCTACATCCCATCTGCACAGGCTTCCCTTTTGAAAGCTCCGTGTCAGTAGCACTTCTCAGAGGTTTCAAAATTTTGTCACCCTAGGAATGATTCTGGAGTATTCAACATTTTTGCCACCTGAACCTCAAACACTTGGCCATAGGGAATGAATTTACTGCACAGTAGATTTTTAAAGAGTCAACTGTGGAACTGCATTCATCTTTCCTCTCTTTTGTGGATCAATCTAATATTAAGTTAACAGAGAAAATTTGAAATGTGATCATGTGTTAGCAAGCATGATGCTTTTTGCAGGATGCTGGAGACAAACCAGCTTATGTCATTGTGAGAGTGTTTTTGCTTTGACTTGATTTACAGCCCTGATTCTGTGCCGTTACTCCACCATGCTTCAGTAGTGCTCCTATGTACTTAAATTAATTTGGAGTGTCATTCTAATACACAGCAAGGTATGTGGAACTAAGTGCCCTCCTCATAGAAAGGTCCTAGTAACTTACATTAACTGCTGTTAATCCATGGAATGGATTAACTGGAACTACCAGTTATCCATAGAATTTGACAGTAGTAGCTATAAGGGGGTGCTATAACATCCTTATGTCCTTATATGGTGGCTCATTTTGTCTGGATATTATACTAATAACCATACTCATTTTAATCTGCCCAAAACATTTACTAACCTTTAATTAGTGTAGATTTGGGAATCTGACAAGCAATTCCTTTAAAGTAGCTAGAGCACATGCATGTACACATTCCATCCACCAGCACAACAGTGCCTCCATTTTTGCAAGGTTTGCATTTGCACGTGCTATATTCAGTAACGTAGTCCTCAATTGCTCTTTCCAAATTTTGTTTCTTCACGTAAGCATCTCTCATCTTAACTGGAACAAGTGTATGTATTGGTGAAGGCTGTAGAAGAAAATAGGCTATGTATAAAAGACTGTTTGGTAGTTCTGCTTCCTTTTGATATTAACATCACTAAACTAAATGTCTGAAGAAAAAGGCTATTATTTATCAAGATAAATAAAATACCTTAAAGTTAATGATAAACTTGGGGCCTCACCTCCATCTAATTAAAAAAAAAAAAAAGCTTTAAAATGGCAAGAGACTTAGCTTAGAAGAGACTTACCCGTTGCTGTATCACTACAGGAGCATCAACCAATGACTTAGCCCACTCTATGTAATCCTCTATGTTTACTGTTCTTACTCCTCGCAGTAGCATTTCTTTTATTTTAACTGAAAAATCAATCTTTCCTCCATCAACTAAGGAAATGACATCATCAATGACTGCATCATCTTTATAGTGTACTGTAGAAAGAAAGCAGAGAGGAAAAGAAGGAATGTAATTTGAAAAATAGTAGTGAAGATTACACCTCTTAGCACAACTAGTCTAGTTCTTTAAAATGAGAGGAGATAGAAGAACCCTTTACTTATTGGCCATGGTGGAATTCCACCTGTCTTTGCTTGCAGTTATTATGTGGGAGGAAATTTGCTATTTTGCAATTAAATCAGAAAACCGTATACCTGAAAGTAAAAGAAGTGGGTAGATCAGCATGTGATAGGTTATGTAGATCTTAGCCATTTAATAAAAAGCCAAAGAAATTAAGAGTAATACTACTGTATTACCTGAGCTGGACCAGAAAAATCACAGAATCACAGAATGGTTACGGTTGGAAGGGACCTCTAGAGATCATCTAGCCCAACCCCCCTCCTCAGGCAAGAATTTAGAACAGGGCAGCATTAGACAAGCTTGAGATTTGTTGTTTGCTCAACAACAAACCCCTTCAGTCTTCATCTTGAAGTAGTTCTACGGTAAAAGCCTCATCTCCAGGCACACAAAAGAGGACATAGGAATATGGACAAGCAGGGGAAGCCGAGTAACTGAATCAGAGGAGTTAGGTTCTCCTCCCAGGGCTGTTCTGGGTCAATCACCAGCTCCATAGGCTAACAACAGTGGAGGCCCTCGGACCTCCTTACTGTCGAGCGAGTATGGACTAATTAAGATTAAGGGTAAATATGATAAACAGCTTGGGAGCCAAGTATCAGTGGCCATAAATCTGGGCTGGGTACATGTGTTTCTAAGTGAGGCAACTCAAGAAGTCAGCTACTAAGGAGGCCCTAAGGTTTGGGGGCCAGCTGAGACCTCTTGTTACGTGTGTGTGTGTGTGTGTGTGTGGCAATCAGAGAAGAGAGGATCCAGGGGCCAGTTACTGGATAGACTGAATGTCTAAGGCAGCCGTTGGAGAAATTAATATTGTCTGTATTTAAGTATTTCCCACTTCATCCTCATCAGCCACAGAGGGGAACAGGATGAGGCCATAGGTGCTATTTGTGTTTCCATGAATGCTGTATTTGTGTCTGTGGGGATCTGTGTGGCTGGCTGTGAGTGTGTGTGTATGTGTGTGTGTGTGTGGTGCATGTGTGTTGGTATGTGCACCAACCAGCCATACATGTTCAGCCTTGCTATTGGTTGGAAAGGGGGGCATGGAGTTAGAGTAGCTTCACCTCTGCTGGACTTGTCCTTATACAATGACCTTTCAGTTATATACAGGGATTAAAACGGTATCATCTTTCTTTAAGCAAAATGTATATAAGGATATACTTACATTTGTCTCTCACCTTAATCTTTTGACATTTATTATCATTAATATTAAGATCAGCACTCAATCCCATGTATGTTGCACTGGCATCTAAATGATAGCCAAGGCATTTTTTTACATCTTCTACGGTGATACCTGGGAGTGGAAATAATTAGATGATTATTACAGGGACAGAAGGCTGTAAAGAATGTAATTATACTATTCCTCTAGGTTTCTTCCGCCCATTTCTTTTATGTTTTCTCCTCTTCCATATAATGAATTTGAGGATGATTCATGTGGCTGCACTGAGGCAGATGAGATATGCAGTGATTAGGAAAATGCTAAGAACCCTCCAAAAACTCACTTATGTTTTTCTTTCTACTTTAAAGTAGATATTTTGTCTTTTCTGCTTATCATTTCCTCTCTTTTGTGTGCTAAATTATTGAGTTCTTACAGCTTTTGTCTCCCAGCCTCAAACGAGTTGATTTTCTTTTACTTGTACATGTAATCAACACCACTAATCTCCTAGGTACACTCTTCTTTTAAATTACATTCCTCCTTTATTCTCTACTACCTCTAGCACATCTTTTCTATCTATTGGACTCAAGCATTTGATCTGAAGCTTTAGCCTTTGTTCAGAGAGACCTTACTTAAGTTTGGATCTTAAAAAAGGAGCAGCACCATCTTCAGGTTTTGAAAAGAAAAATGCTATAATCTGTAAATGACATCTCTGCTCCATGTCCTTTGAAATATTTTGAACATTGCATGGCAATAAGATTCTTAATACTTCATGCATCAGCTATTTATTTTCTGACCAAAATCAGCTTCAGAATGATCACTTAAACGCATCACAAAACCACATGTGCCTGAACTGCACAAGGGAGGATTAAGTTACTGCTTTCCTATCTTAACCAGGGTAAGGAAAATTCCAGCCTGAATGTTAAGGTTTATAAAAACAATTCCAACATGATCAACTATATCATGTGATTTCTGGAAAGTTCAATTTATCCATTATTCTGTGCCAATGCCATACGCAGAGTGATTGCAACCCAAGAAGATACAGACTGGCAAAATGATGTTTCAGCCAGATTTCTTAGGCTTTGCAGCACTCTTGTGAATCAGACCCCCACCACTACTGTGAATATTTTGAATAGTTTTATTTAAGATTTTTTTTTTAAGTGACATGCTTAAAATGCAGACTTCCACTAAAAATGCTAGAAATTAGAAAACATTCTAATCTCTTGAACTGGTGTAATTCTATACTGATGTCACTGATGGTACACATTGAACTGCGCTGTCTGCAGGAAAGCTCCACATGCACAAGTCTGTCCTCACCATTTCTCTGTGCAACAGTGATAACCTGCATAGCAGAGTGAGGCCAGGAGAACACCTACCTGAATGAGACATTGCATAATCATCTAGCACATACACAAGCTCGTATTTTCCTCCTACAGTTCCAGAGACTGCATAGTGAGTTCCATAATCTTCTAGGAATTTGAAATATTCCCCCTTATCATATTCAGCAGGCAGAAAGTTTAGATCATCAAGGAAAATGTCTGTGAGACGGACATCACGACTTCGCATCTGGAATCTTCCGAGCTGAATCTTTCCTTTTACGTGCAGGAAGGTTTGGTTCTGAACACACCAGGGAGAAGAAAGCAGGAGGTGAGAGTGCCCTGTCATATGCAGTACAGCAGTTCTGTTTTTATTTAAAGAAACTGTAGCGCTTTAAAATATCATATTCAATCTAGCATTTTGGAACAGAGACAAACTTTTTCACATGAAACAGCAGGTTCTCTAAAATGTCCTATCCTGTAGAGGTCTAAGGAAGTAGGAAGAAGCTTAGTTAATTTCTGTATTTGTCAGCAATGCAAAGCTCTTTGTTCGTTAATTTCAGTAAACCTTTGTGATCTATTTGATGACATGTTCTTGTCACTAAATGCACTATCTGTAGAAAAGTGCCTTCCTGACTTAATTTTATAAGACAGAAAATAATACTGTATGGCTTGCTCTGACCTGCACACTGAGGTCAGCTGGAGTTTTTGTCTTTGTTTATAAGCAGAACAGAACCAAGTTCTCTCTTTTTGGAATCACTTCTCTGTTATTCTCAGACTGCCTGAATAAAAAGAGCATTGCTCCAATGAAAAAAAATGATTGAGTGGCATAAGATGAAAATTAGTTAGGAGAAAATATCTTTGGGACCTGTGATCCATACATATAATTCTGACTTGAGTTTCATGCTCTATATAGCCATAAATTATACTGCTGATGATTTGATATCATAACCTCAACTAAAGTCAATCTGCTGCATTTACAACAGGACATCTTGTGGAACGGTAACACTTTAGGCTCTAAACAAACACAAAGGGCTTCCTCCCCAAGAATCAACCCATATCAGTATTCATATGTATGTATTCAATATTATTTAAGTAACCAGTTATAAAATTTATCTTAGTTTTCCATTAAATCCATTTCATCTGCTGGTCTCTGAAGGGTGGCTTGAAAAAAAAAGGCTGACAAGCTGGAAAGGTTGAATCACTTGAGGCAGATATATTCTGCTAAGGCTACTTCTGTACTAGTAAATAAAATGGGATAGGGCCTTTTAATTACATCTATTTTGCTTCTCCAAGCTCACCTACCTTTAGGCCTACTCACTGGCATTTTTTTTTATCCCAGGACTTGGTCTAATTTGTCCACTAGATCAGAGCTGCTGTGTAATCAAGATGAGACCAGAGATCTCTGGACCTTCCTAATGTCGAGGCCCCAGGGAAGATGAGGGTGGTTGCTAGTTGATGGAAACAATAAGCTAGATTTGATTAGGCTTTTAGCATCCTCTGAAATCCTAATCCTAGTACTGCCAGTATTTAATTTTTGTGAATAAATGCCATAAAATTAGTAAGCAAGAACAGTATTTAGAAAGATTAATTTTGCTTTTTTTCTGATATTATGTACATTTTGCTGTTTGTAAAATCACTGCCTTAAGCCCGTTTGCATGATAAAACTCACCCTTTCTGTGATGGTTTTCAGGACTGAACTTAAACTTGAATTCTTGCTGTAGTGATACTTGAAATTCCCCTGTGCAGTTATGTTGCCACGTGCGTCAGTAGGTGTGTATTTCACAGACAGACCCACGTTAAATTGTCTTTGCTTTTCTATGTAAACCTCTCGGATCATTTCTGCACGATCATGATAGTACTCAGCTGTGAAGGTTTTGTCTGCTTTTGTCTTAAAAAAGATCATGAAAAGATTGTATGAGTAGTTAAAAAACAGTAACAACAGTAAAAGAAAATCTATGTAGCACTTCTAAGTTGTATATTTTATCTATGTTATCAATATAAAAAATATATAAAATAGATGCTAATAGGAACCCAGCAGATGGGCGTAAAGGATGAAAGCCTGCGTCACTTTGTATAGTGGTTGCACTGTCTTTGAATAGAATAACACAAATAACTGAGTTTTTCTCTGAATACTAAAGTCATTCCACAGAAGGGCCCAACGGAGCTACGTGCAATTTTGAACTAGAAAATTATTTTTTCAGCAAAAAAAAAATCCCAACCTTTACCAACCTGTTGATTTGTCTCCTGGTAAATGTTAAGTTTTCATTGAAAAAGCAAATGTTTGAAACTCAAAATAATTTGACTCAGCTAGAGAATGTGATTCAGCTGAATCATTGATTTGATTTGTGTTAGTTCTCCCAGAACCCCATAGGGCGGTTTATGTGGTTTCCCTGTGTATTCAGCCTCTCCTGAGATCCAAGCTCCCAAGACTGGCTGCATCTGTTAAGCCTCACTGCAGCCAGGAATTGTTATGGAAAAAATCCCTCACTTTGTGGACAGATGATACTGTCCAAACGGAGATGTAATCCAAACAGGACTCTAATGAAAACCTTGTCCTGCTGGACTTTCCTTAGATGACTTGTGTGTCTCCTGTGTGAACACACTGTACTATGTGTCCCAACATGAGGATTCCCAGATCACTCGCAGACTCTGCCCTATTGCTTGTAATGCGGCTTGGAATGGTGAGTGTTTGGTGGAAGCCAAATGGTCCATGTAAAGGACCATAATTTCAAAAGTATCATCACCCATGCTTTGAGTTTCTACAGTGTTTGGGCAGTCAAGCAGCAAAATTTTGTTTTGTTTTCCAAAACACCTGAGCAACCAGCCTATGAAAATTGGATTTGTTCAATGCATTCCATGTTGCATATCCAAAACCACAACTCAGTGGAAAAAATAACCAAAAAGCTGCACCCTGTGAAAGCACTTGAATTTAATTTGCTCAAACTGGTAAAGAATCTCCCAAAGATTTATAAAGATGAAATAAGTCATAACATTTCAGAAAAATCTCACTTGCCACTTGCATCAGAAACTGCCTTTCTGACAGTTACTTTAAATATATATATTTTTAAATTAAATATCCACTCTTTTCCCTAGAAGCACCTTTTAATGCCCAAAACCATTGCCCAGTTTGGACTATTCATCAGATATAACTAACAGCAAGTCCACTTCTCCCTTTTCCCTCCCCACCTTCAATTCTATTTTAATGATTTCTGCTTTTGCAAGCTATGAAGAAAAGCCACATATGTTCAGTTTCTGGTATTTATTGGCATGAACTGTTTCTCAGAGTGCTAACAAATGAAAACAAATGCAAATACAGCCCTTCTCCCCTAAACATCATCTGAACCAGCTCAGAGGGTTCAAAAATAAACAGAAAACTATGAGGACGATGGTTCAGTGAATAGCAAGGCTCAGCATGTAACACTGTCAACATAATTTATATATGTCAACAGTTCCCTTATGTTTCAGGAATAATAGTTGCCAGATCATTCTTAGAATGCAACAAGAAACAAGATTTATATAATCATATTACATAACTACAAAGATTCCAGAAAGCAACTTTCATTTACTATGTGCAAATACCACATCACATGCAATGGAGACTTGGTGCAACTGTGTTTAATTGCTAATTCAAAAGATAACCCAACCTGTTGCCCTGTGGACTTTTTAAAGCTAAAGAGCTTTTACCACCTGACTCGAGAGACATGTGGGGTCTTGTGAGAGGAGGCCAGGGTTGACCTTCAGCCGAACGTAGCCGTCTCTCAGGAAGGACTTACGTCGTAGATGAGAACGCCGACGTTCCAGGGCTTGCGGTAGTAGGTGCGCGTGTTGCCGTCACGTGTGCGCTCACACAGGCCGTTGAAAAAGTCATTGTCGAACGGGCTGGCCAGGGGCTGCATCCCTAAGATATTGATCCTAGGGCGGAAACACAAGAGAGGCTGTACTTCATAAAAGCCTCTTTAAGGAAGCCTGTTTCTTTTTAAGGAATATACTTTTGAGGAGTCATTCCTAGGTTCAGAACAGATACTTTTTTTTTTCTTTTTTTTTCTTCTCATAACTTAAATTAGTTTGTTGCTGATAGGAACTTTAATAGCAAACATAGATTAGTCCCATCATCAACCCTGTAGAAGGAGAATACAGCCCCTCCTGGCTTTGCTCTCCTTCCAGGGAGCGACCTGCAGGAGTAACAGAAGTCTCCTGGGGCAGGGCAGAGGAAGTTTGGATTGCAATAAATCCGTAGCAGAGGGCACGTTATTTCCATATCTCTATCTGCCTATGTACCCACTTACAAGAGGTAGTTCTAAAACAATTTCTCCGTGTGGATTTTTTTTTAATTAGGTTTTGCCTTTCCACATCTGTTTTATACATTGAGACCTTTCCAGGGGCCACAGTATTTACATCGGCTACATGCCCATATTTCTAATGGGGTATAGAAAACAGCTAGCAGTTCACCAAAGATGTCACAACTGCATGTCTATACAGAATTTTCTCATGAGAAGCTAAAGTAATAAAATATAATAGAAATAATAAAGTAGCTAGTTCTAAAAATGCCTATAGATCTGACTCACTTCCATGTTACAGAGGCAGCATCTTGCAATAGTATCAAAATGAATTAGAGGATGTACCCTCTTATTTAAACACAAGGTGGTGCTATGATATATTTTTATTTTAGTCTGTTGCAGTTTGGATAGCTACCTTATTATTCAATGTGTACATGCACTGTATGTGCTACTTTTGCTTTATTTAAAATAAGAGAGATCCATCAGAGCCTTAGAGCAGAAGAGTGACTTTTCAGTTTAGATTAATGAGAAGGCTCCTGTAAACAGCAAACAGAAGTAAAGGATTCAGTGCTGAAAAAATGTTGCAGGCAGCAATGTAGCCTGTCCTGAAAAATAAGCAAGATGCATTTTTTCCCTCTTCAATATGCATTAGTGAAATCATTGGGAATAGCTAAATCTTCCCAATTGTTATTATATTAATAACATATGTATAGAAACCTCATCTACATGCATAAGCAAACAATGCTTATATATAATCTTTGTATTTCCACTGTCTTTACAAGTGCCATAAACATAATGATTTATTTAGTGTCCATAGTCTGAATAGGTATTTAATCATCCCGATCTGTATAAACGAAAACTATAGGGAGTTGCTCTTCCAAAGCCACACAGTGTTTCTGAGAACTTCAGTCCCCACTCGGGGAAAGAGCAGCCCGTCCACCGTGGCGCACTGAGCCACCCTAGGCTGCTCTGCTCGCAAGGCCTGGTGCTGGCAGGAGGTTTCTTGGCTACGCACCCTTGCCCCGCAGTCCTGCCGATTTCTGACACGTCAATGTCATGATTACGGCACGGTGACCGCGGCTCGGACTCACAGTCGTCTTCGTCAGAAAAGTCTCCGCAGTCATTGTCTACGTTACACACGAGACGTTGCTTGATACAGCGACCTAAGCAGAGAAAAAAACATTGGATGAATCCATTTTGTTTTCCAAGATGGACTTTTTCTAAGATGCTCCTTCCCTCTTCTTCTCTCCCTGCACTCCCCAGCTATTCCTTACTAAGATCTTCCTCTTGGTTTCCTTATTGTCACAAGGAAATGGAATCCTACACCCAGCACACTGCAGAAAACAAGTATCACGAAATTCACTTAGTAGCTTCCTGGGATAGCTAAGAAAACTAAGTGACGGGAGAGCTGCTGTCATTTGCAGGAAGTTATTATTTCCTTGGACTGCTTCTGTATTCATCTTTGATTATTAGATTTTAAAAATTGTATTATCAGAGTACAGGAAAATATTAAGTCAGTTATCAACAAAGAATTATTTCTGAGATGTTTCATTTTTTGCTGTTGGGAGGGCATGAACTATAGTGATTTGTATTCTAAAGTAGCAGTGACATTAATTACACTGAGGTCAGGTAGGGTTTCACTGTAGGTTTTGCAAAGACTGATTTTTTCTACATGATTTGAAGATTTGAAGTAAATGTATGCCTGACATAATAAAAAGACACTTGCTCCTATCAGTTAGCTTGCCTGTAGAGTGTCACAGCCACAGAACAGCTTTGAACTACTATTCAATGATATACTTCATAATTTTTCTTTCTCTACTTGGACTTCATAGTATTTGAGATACACTTAATATTCGCAATGGCTTGGGACATAAAATCCACCTAACATCTTTCCTTTTCAGAATGATTTAACCATTAACATTTCATTATTCGTTTTGATTTGTGAGTCTTGAAGATTATGCTAATTCATATGCACGTATGGCTCTACAAGTTTATATTTTACTTGGAATCTAGAGGCATTCTGACCTCAAGCAGACATGCACAGAACTGCTGTGCTCACCTAAACCTCCCTAACTCATTTTGTCAAAATTCTTTCAGCTCTAGTTTTTCCGACTGATTTTTTGTTAAACACTAGGGTGCTGTTCTTGGTGGGATGAAAGGAGGGAAACGCATAGTAAGTCAGCTTTCCCCCTCCAAAAAACAAAGCACTGAACATAAACCTCTCTATCTGTTAGTGCTTATTAGCTTCAATGGTTATTGATTGAGCTTCTTCCTAGAACTATGTAAGAAGCAGATTGCTGAGTTACTGCACAACTCATCATGATGTGAAAAGAAAACCTACCAGAAGTGCATTGAAAGTCAGTACCACAGTCTGGTTCTGGGCCTTCAGGACAGGCTTGGCTGGTTTTACAGCTTTGTGAATCTCTCAAAGTCTCCAGACATGATTTTCCACCAAATTGTCCAAATTTCTCAATACTTCTGGATCGAAACTTGAGGGATAGGTAACAGAATTAACATTTCTTGGAGAGAGGAGAGGAAAAAAAGCTAGAACTAAGGGATTTCCAGCTGAACTTTGAACTTCCCAGAACAAAGGATCTTTGGTGAGATTTTTGGTTGAGAAATAAATACTTGTACAGCAACATTTAATTAATACCTGTTTTAGCAAGCATACAGAGATGCTTATTTTTCACTATTTTGTTTACAAGAAATCCAAGGAGGAAGTTACATCATATCTTATATACTTTCAAATCTGTGCTTCGAAGAAGGTAATTCTAGCCCATTAATTTCATATAGATTGCATACCTTTGGATGAATGTACATAGTTTGTAAATCTGCCTCTGGAAATCACTGTAATGTTATCTGCCACCAGTAGCATTAGCTACTTTTGAGGTACTAGGAATTAGCAGAGATTTTGGGACTTGGAATTCTTGCAACTTCATGTAGCAAAATCATGATATAATCAACAAGGAACTGCCTTGGGTGTTTTTGAACTTTCATGTGAAGAACTTCCTTGAGATAACAAATCTGATTTTGACAAAAATATCTTTTTTTATTTAAAGAGAAAAAAATATTAAAAACTAAGTTTCCTAATAGAACCATCCCCATGGAGGGGGAAAAAAAAAGGAGGGGGGGATTATTTCTATCAACAAAACCTTGAAGGCTTGAAAGTAGTTTTGTACACTGGATGCAGCCTTCCCTTATTACTAAGGCTTCAGGTAGCAATCACTCAAATATTTATGAGTTTTACCAAATTACGCATGTACCTTAAGGGCTGCAAGCTGCTATTTTCCCCAACCCCGGAGGCCGGCAGGGCCGCTTGCTCGCCACCTTGGCGGCTCTGTCTTACCCTCTGATACGTGCACGGGTCGCAGGGCCCCCACGCGCTCCAGCCGCTCAGCTTACAGTCTATCGGGGATGGGGCATCCAGCTCTCTTCTCGCCCTGTGGAAAGCTTTCTGAGAAGAACTGTCAGACAAGACATTGCAGTACAGTGCTGGGCAGTACACTGAAACCCTGCCTGTGGTTGTTCTCAAATCATAGGCCAACATTTCAGGAGCCTCTTCAAGCTGCTTGCTGGCTTCACTTCTGTAGCAGCATGGGGTACTTAAAGTTTATAAACTCTTTTGTGCTGGTTTAAAATTCAATTTTATTGAAAAAAAAATAAAAGTCAAACACCAGGGTCTGACCTGCCTACTTTGCTCTCTGTAAGTTATTTATTTATTTTTTTTGTCTAACATGGAATATTCACTCACTGCCTGCTAATCATTTCTGCACTCTGCCGGTTAATACCAGGCCCTCTACAACAGGAACTTCTGAGCCCAGTATGTTGGTAAATCTGCAGCTCCCCTTGTCTGAGGCATGCATTTTTTTTTTTCTTTTTTCCAGGCAGGGCTTTGCCCTGCACTCCTTGACCCTGCCTTTCCCTTATACAAACATGCCAGGTGACCAAATAAATGTAACCTGGTTCCATGAAATTGAGAAATCTTCCGTTTGGACAAAGAAGATACACCAGTCTGTTTAGCCTTCTGTTGCCACTTACTGTATATTAATGCTGCATATCTACTAAGATGGTGTCAAGACGCTTAAGTTGACCCATGTCACTTTCCAGGCATTGAATCTGAAACAGCTCTATGGTCACACGCTTACTGTGCAACCCTTTACAGATCCTGCTCACGCTGCCAGGCCCCTGGGCTGTAAGCACGTTGCTGAACATGCAGAGCCACTGCTGCTGGAAGCAGCGTATCACGCTCTCACCCAGCCCTGCCTGCTGCCTCTGAGATACTCTCTTGCCAAATCCTAAACTAAGACAGGCTAGGGTTTCTGGCAAGCCAGGCCTTCCAAAGCTTCCAAACTTGAGGCTGGGAGGGAAGTGTGCAACTTTGCTGTATGGAAAACATCAGGTATTGGTGTGGGTGACCCACAACCCCAGTCCAGGGAGAAGTGCAGTTTAAAGAGAAGGGAGAGCAGCTTAGGTACTGAAGAATATCTCTGACACCAGTAGCTGGGAGGAAGAACATCAGAGACAAAATACTAACTGAACTGATAACTAAAATACTCTGCTAACCCTGACTTGGGACTTTGGGGGGAGGGAACAGTGCTCTCTGAAGGAAAAAACCCCAAACATTTCAGCATCAGTGCATAGAATTCCTTGCACTTTGTCCTAGACTGCACAAGCTCCTGCTACCCACTTTTACCCATGATTTGGCAGGGATACCAGCCATTTTGTCCATCTGTTATCAAGCAGGACATGAAAAACATTGTTTGATAGTTAGCACTGGTCAGCAGAGAAGGCAGAGCTCTTTCAGGAGACAACCTGGTATCATGTGAAGGCACCTTACAAGCTGTAACTGTTGGTGCCGTAACACAGCAGCACAGGCAGTAGTAGGATATGTACTCAAGCAGCTAGAAGTATGTCTGACTATGTTCTAACTAATTAGTTAGAAAGCTTTAGTTGAATCTAAATGTTCAAGCAATAAGAATTATCAAAAGACCAGGATGAAAACAAAACATTAAATATTATGGCTCTGAAAACTCTTGTACCCCCTCTGTTTGGGTACTTCAGACACTAAAAAGCCACCCATGGCTTTAGACACCTTCCTCCCCCTCCCCGCCCCATTCCCACAAAACAACACTTGGCTGTCCAGACAACATTCACACATGATCATAAAGTTTTGTTCCTGCAGTTCAAGTCTTAAAGCAGAGGAATCCAAGCTTACTCTTAGCTGCAAATAGCTATTACGGGATCCTTGCACCTTCCTACTTCATTCAGTACTGGTGATTCTCATAAGTGAGACACAGACTAGGCAGATACATGTCAGACAGTATAGCTCTTCCTGTGTTTTTATATCCACTAAAGCCCTGGTGTCTCCTAAAGATACTATAGTGGGGGGAGGAGGAAAGGGAGTTATATGACTCAGGAATTAGAGAGAGATAGGCTCGGAGACTTGAGATATTAGTGTAACTAACTACCATCATCAGAAAACCGAGCGCCTTCAGACATGAGGCAGACGTTACACTTTCACCCTCTGCATGCAATAGACTGCTGCTTGAGCTCCACCTCCTTGCTGGACCATGTTCCAACAGCTGTAAGCCCCCTTTTGTTGTGCCCTGTACCTATATGGATCCAATTTGGCTCCTCTTGGGAGAAAGACGTCTCCCTTTTAGTTAGATATACAAAGAAATTACCCATGGAAGTGTTTGGATTATAGATTGATGCTCTGTGTTGGAGAAATATTAGACTAGAGACCTGCAAAAGACCAAGGATACTTACCTTCTGGCCCCCCCCAAAAGTGAGGCAGTTGCTTCTAAAATGCAGAGTGCTGATATAAGCTGCAAAATAGCATGCATGCTTCTCATCTTGCAGCCAAGTAGAGAATTGTCAGAACTGTATCTGAAACTTCTCTATTTGTTCCTTTTGTTATTTATTACCAAGAGAACAAACAAAACAGCACTTGCAAACAACAAAAAAAAATCCCAACCAGTTACTGGCAGAACTGACTTATGGTAAGTGCGCTAAAGTTTACTTTTTTTCCTCTAGAAGAGTGGTAAATGCATAAAATACTCTTAGCTGTTTCTATTTCCTAGAATCTTTAAAAGCAGGGGAAAAAAGTCTGTTTAATTAGAAGATTGTTCCTCATGCAAGTCACTGGCTTTTATGAGCCAGTTAACTAATAGTTCATAATTGTTTTTAAGAACAGGTTCATGTTCTAATATGTTTAAAAACTTCCTGGGGAGCCATGAAGCTGATACAAGAGAACAGCACACAATGAAAGCTAGCAGAGTTTTAAGATCCTTCAAAACAAAAACTATCACCAAAATCTAAACCACAGGATAACTGCTTAGAAGGCATTCTTGTTCAGAAGTTTGCTGTAATCCAGGCTTAAGGCATCATGTGTTAAGACAGTCATAAGACAGAAGTAACTCATGAATAAGCTGCTGTTTAGCAGTTAAGAGTAAAATATCTTGACTCAAGCTTAAAATGATCATGCAGTATAGAGATATTTGACAATGCTGAGTAGATCAAAAAAAAAAAAAAAAAAAAAAAAAACCAACACTTACTTTTGATTCAGTCTCCACACTCACTTTTAAGTGAAAGAGGATGAGGGCACGCTGTATTTTTTCCTAACTCTTAACTCAGGATAGTTTCATGAGGTGAACAGGCATTCAAACTAAGGTAGCAGACCAGCAAGCATCTTTGACCAGGTTTTAAGAGGTCCTTCTGACCCAACTCACAGTTCTGCAATAGTTGTTTAAGCTAGGTTGTTGGAATGGTGACTGCTAAGTCATGGTATTGCTGTTAGTGTTAGCTTGGCTAACCAGGTATGCATTTAGATGCTTAGCTCAGACACTTTCGTGTTCTAGTCTTAGATGTCAAGCTGACAGTTTTGTCTCTAGTATTAGAGTCTAGCCTAAAACACTAGGTTTAATGACTAAGCATTAATCAAACTTCATTAAAATAAATCAGAAATTCTTTTTCTGAGCAAGCTAGATATTCCCCTTCCCTCCCCCCTGCCCTGCCCTTTAGTTTCCATTGCATCAATTACCTCTTACAAGCAGTTAGAATAGTTAAACTGAATGGGAAGAATGAAGTGGTGTCAGTTTATGAAAATGTGAGGGCTTTCAGCCTTGCTGAACAGGATAAGAAAGCATCTTTAGCTTCAGAAGTATTGACCAACTCAAGCTGTCCATGGGCTAAATGGGATGAACTAGTAAGAGCTTGCTTTACACAGTGCTGAGGCAGCCTAGGAGACTACTCAGACTTACCCAAAAAAAATCACAGCATGGTCTTAAGTTTTGCAATAAGACAGCCACAGTAAGAAAGAGTGAGACAGAAATGATTCTTAGCAGGCTCTGAACAAGAAATGCCAGCTAGACCACAGGATTGAGTTTTGCAGGACAGAATCAACAGCCACACTTGCATTCATTTGCTATGAACATTTGCTTCTTTTTAATGTCATTAAGTAACATCATTTGAGATATGACAGCTTATAACAGTGTAACATCCATAAGTTTCTACATTTCCAGTTTGAGACAAATAATTCATAGCTTTTTTGCATTACAGAAAGTGCAAAAGAGGTTTATATACAAGACAAATTGCATGACTGACCGAATTGGGTACTAAGGCTGTCTTCAAGTTGATTTTTATAGCTCTCCAGTTCAGCATACACATTTAACAATACTATTTCAAGTTTATACTTAGTATGAACAAAGACTCAAACATCAGCGATCCCCATTGTTGAAGTAAGTAACTTACAGTTGGTTATAAACCAACTGATTTAAATGTCTGTTAGTAAAGAACTTTGCTAGCAAAGGCACTCACTGCTTTCAAAGGAATGGAGAACTACCTCACATTGAAGGCACAGAGGTGATTTATCTATTCATCTAAGCAATCTAGGCATGGAGTGAAGCCATGATTGTCTTGTTTTCTAATGTATTGGGAATGTGCCACACTACTTAGCATGGCAACTCAAACTGAGCAATGTCAGGGACATTCACTGAAATATAAGCAAGAAGCCTATCTGCTTGTTCCACTTGTCTGCCAAGCCACCTTAAGAAAAAAAAAAAAAAAAAAAAGATTTCCCTCCCTGAAAAAAAAAAGTAATAAAATAAGCCATATTAGCACCAAGACAGTGTTTAATGTCCATGGCTACCTGGAGGCTCTGCAAAATGCTCTTCAGCTTACCCAACTATGGCATAGACTTGCAGTACCCTCAGAGCTCTGTTAAGGGCAAGTTTCCTCAGTTCCACAGTCCCACAGCTTAGTCACTTTGTTACAAGCTTATGGCAGATTGCTAACTTTGCCTTTTAATGAATAGATAAGTATTGGATTTTTCCTACTACACAGTTTACCTCTTGTGGCTCAGAGACCAAGTCATATGTCCAGTCACCAACTAGAAGTGAGTAGTGTCCACCTTACTTTACAATTAGCTGCTGCTGTAGTAACATGCACTGACCTAGCTGTTGAAGATGTGGACTTTAAGCTACTAATTCCATCCCCTCATGTGAACGTAGCATTTCTTCCCCAGGTACATTCAGTTCCTATATTACAGGACAGTAAGTGCTACAGAAACAGGAATTGAGGTGACCATATTTAAGACAGAATGACTTAGTGTTGCTAAGCTCTTCCGTGGAAGACTGCCAAGACTAAAGTAAAATTACCATCTACCAAATTGAACTGGGGTGTGCAGCATGAGTCCAACTTCCCAATTGCTTTGCCTTGAATCATTTTCACAGCGTGTTCTTTGAGGGTTCATTTTTCAATCCACCTGGACATGTTTTAGATTACAGACATCATGGAATGGCAGCAAGGGCAGCAGGCAGCAAAATGAAACAAGTAGAATAGTCATGTTGAGAAGAGATCCAGTTATTCCGTTTGTCCTTTTCTGATCATGCCTAGTATGGTGAAAAGGACTTACATTAGGCAGTAAAACTATTACTTTTAACCATCCTAAACAAGCTTAGAGCTTTTAAGAGAAAAAAACCAAGGTGATAAAGACCAACACTTAGCTCAGGGGAGGGGGGGGGGGGGAAAGAGAGAGAAACATGGAATAGGATTGCTAGTTCAGCAGTTCTGTGATCAATGTTGAAAGATAACCACATACACAGAAACCATACCTCCTTCCCTCCCTCCCTCAAAAACCACAAACCAAAACACACACCTTTCAGACTTGCATTAGTCTCTAATGACTAATACCCTCATAATTACACATTTATGGTGTAATTCCTCTCATGTGGAATATAAAGCCTGAATATTTAGGAGATAGCTATGTGGTGCATTGTGTGCTAACACTATGCTTAAGGAAATACCTGAAGGTATTTAGGTTAGTACTTTTGAGTTTTGCAGCATGTTTACTCATTAACTTTTCCTCAATGAAAGTAAGTCTAAAACTCTTCTGGCCTTGAAATCTAAATTCACAGAATACCAAGATCCTTATTTCTAAGAAAGGGACATTGATTAGGTTTACCTAGAAAAAAGCCTTTACAAGTTTTAATAGACATATTCTATCAGAGTGTTCTTTTAGGAGCTGGGCAAGTGCTTGCAGTACTTCAAAGGGGCCTTCTAGTTAAGCTAGTGTCACTTCTATACAGCTCTTTGCCAGATGTTTTCTGAACAAAGTTCAAAGGACAAAGTAGGTTATATATTACTGGAAGCCTTACCTGATCTATGCAAATGGATTGCCAAAAGGATCACCAAATGGAGCAGGAGGTGGTTTCTGAGATTCCTTCTAGGAGAAAGACCATGGCCAGTTAGCACATTTTCAGTTTTCACCAGGTTTGCTCTAGAGAATTGCATCAGCTAGTTCCTGTTCCAAACACTTTGGAGTGTTCATTATGTAAGCACCAAACATACCACTCTGATAGGAAAAAGGCTGTCTAAAGCCATGTTGTAGTTATCTATTAGTCTGAGGCAAGGTATCTGTTAGGAAGGCCTGCACACTTAATGAATACCCATTTGGAGTTAAGCCAGTATCGTCATAATGAGATCTTTTAGCCAACTGCTGAATGCTGACTTAAGATATTCTGGAACTGCTCCAAAGTTTCCATTCAGGACTTCAAATGCTGTCCCCTAAACAGTGATGTGGTTAAGCCACTTCCTCCCCTGGAAGATACCAAGCATAGGAGCCTCCCAGTTGATGAATGAGAGCTCTGTATCTGCATTCGGTCTACTTTGCAGAGCTAAACACAGCCCAGGTATGCCTCTTGCAGTCATGTTATTTTGCAGTAGCTCAACAATACAGGAGTGAGGGACTCCCCGTGGTGCCTCCCAGCTCAGGACACTGGTTACAAATCCAAGGCAAGTGGAATTTATTCTTTGTTAACCGTCTTGCAAGTAATGCCCTGCTATGCTAGATATTAGCCTCAGATATCTATGTACACTGTTTTGTTCTCTGGCTTCTAAAACTAGAGTGGGCTGGCCCTCAGATACAGGCTCCCCTACCATAAGGGGAAAACATGCTTTTTAGTACTTACAGCAGAGGTGGTGAAAAGGTCTGTTTTAGGCTGGCTTTCAAATAGGTCATCAGCTGGCAAAGCACTTTGTCGAAGAGCAGGCTTTGGAGGTTCTAGGTAGAAGAGACATACTGCTGCATTACTAAACCTTCCAGACATGTACTCAGCTCTGTCTCTATAGCAACCCCAGCTAGTCTAATACACATTACTTTTAATAGGGCAGTAATTATGTCCTGCCTTCACTTCAGTGCATTTACTCTAGGCAGGAACTAGTTTACTTGTGTGGGCTAATCAAATAGTTTAGTCACTAGGTGTCAGTGTTTGGCCACTGCTACAGGTTATGTTTTTTTAAAAAAAGTTAACTGAGGAGACAATAGTTGAATCCACCATTTCAAGGCTAAAATGATTTACTGTCTGCTATCTGATAAAGGTGGTGGCTAGCCTTCCCACTCTCTATACAACTATACTAGTAGAAGAGATTGTCAGACAGCTTGCTAGCTTCCAAGTCATCATGATGTGTCCTACCTTGAGGAATGCCTACTTTACTACTAAAATAGCTACCAAAAGTTCCATTAGCACCTGAAAGGCTTTGCTGCTCCCCTCTCCTTGCTGGTACTGCAGGTGGCTTTGTCAGCTGGAAGTCTTTGAACATTTCCTTGATATCCTTCATTTCTCTATGACCAAGTGCATCCAAAGCAATAAAGTCATCACTCTCTCTCTTGGATAGTTCCTTCTGAGGTGCAGTTCTAGGTGGTGGCTGAGGTGGGGTAGTAGTTGTTGTAGACATGGAAGGCAGTGTAGATGGTGTCTGAGCAGGTAGTGTTGAAGGTGGGAATACACTACTCTGGAATGGATTTGAAGCATTGGATGGCTGAGCCCATGGAGCAGATGGAACTTGGGCTGTCTGTGCCCACAGACCAGGGGACTGAGAAGATGCTGGACCAAAAGATGCTGGTTGGTTCCAGCTTGACACTGCTTGAGTACCAAAAGCAAGTCGTTGAGTAAATCCTGTAGGCTGAGCAGGCATCATAGATCCAGCAAAGACAGATGCAGCCTGAGTGAAGGCAGAGGTCTGTGCATTCCATGGTGATGAAGTTACTGGTAAACCACCTGGGAGGGAGATGGTTACACAACACTCAGCAACTTGAAAACTCTAAGCAGAAGTGCATTCATTCCACTGAGGGTACCAGCAAGATGTTTTGCATATGCTCTTTACAAAAATTTGTTGCTTAATATTTAAAATGAAGCCATTTGGCTAGGGGCGGGGAAGGGAAATGTCTACCTTCTACTCAGTTCCTTTGGTCCTTAGTGGACCTGAGGTTGTTAGAAAGCAATAAGAACATATTTAGCCATGGAAGCATCTACTGTACAATTATTGCCAGTTAAGTCTATAAGACTAAAGCTATAAGACCCTAGTCATGTTACCCTGGCTTTATAAATTGTGCCTGGCACACCTGATCTTGTGCAACTGAACCAGCAAGCTGTCCTTGAAGTTTAAGCCAGGAAAACCCAGTTCAGAGAGCAGAATTCAGGGTTCTATTGCAGAATTTACAGTCCAGTATAGACAGAAAAAGCATGTCAACTCAGTACTGTACATGAAGGGAGCTAGAACCACCACACTGGTATCAATGGATGTGTTAGAATAGAGCAAGAGTTTCCCTTTGTGAACTAACCTATGCCAGCCAGTGGAGGTGCTGTAGTAGGACTTGCTTTGAAGAGGTCCAGTGGATTAGTTGGCATAGGTCCTGGCTGTGTCACTGAAGTCAAACCAACGTTCTCTGTAGCTGGTGCAAACAAACCTGAACTAAACAAGTCACTTGACGCAGTCTGGAAAGTAATAAAGCTGTTGTGAGAAAGCTTGTCAAGGTATCGGCTAGCAAGATCAAGACTCTAGTCTGAAACTAAACAAGCTTTTGTAACAGCTACTGTAGAGCAACAGCTTCAGTTTATTCTGCTAGGGCTCACATACAGAAGTCTCTAACCTCACTATCCAGTTTGAACATATGTAATACTCATTTAATACTATGTATCAAAAGAGTATCATCTACCATCAACTTTAAGTCTTACTCTTTGACAGTAGCTACAATTAATCAAATCACTTGCTAGGCTAATGACTCCCATATAAGCGTACTTGCTCATTTTGCCATAGTCCTTGGAGAAACAAAGCTAGGATATTTGAAATTACTTCAAATATGGTGCATAACAGCTGTATCAAGGATAACCACCAGGTTTTGCACTGTTTAAGTACAGGAGAAATACGATTGACCTGGATCCGCTTCTGCCATCTAACCAGCCAAATGATATTTGCCTTCATGAGGCAGATGCTATCAAACTACATAGGTTTCCATAAACTAGTACTAGCATTCCTCATTGCTGAGGAACTACAGGAGGACAGGCACACAGCTATTGCAAGAAGTTCTGGCATTACATCAAGTATACACTGCAGCATACTTACCAGACCTTTACAGAAGTATGGCAGCATTAAGGAAAAAAGTATACATAATTTAGTGATCATAGCTACTATAAAGCATTCTTGAAAGTTAGAACATGCCATGACTACAGAGAGGTTAAAGGAAGCATGGTGGGTGGAAGAAATAGTAGTTGCACTGTGAAGCTGCTTAGCCAGTTACATAGTATGGAGAAAGGAAAGTTTCCTTCACCCAGCTTCTCTAAGAGCATGCATTTCACCAGTAATTACTTGAACTTTGTTCACCTTGACCGACCTCCTTCCTCTTCCTGGCTTGGTACTTTGTGGTGGTGGGCTAATTGTTACAGACTCATGTGACATGAGCTGGATATTGCTTTCTGAATCCAGCTTTACTCCATTCTGCAGAGATACTCCTTTGGAAGGCCCTTCCACAAAGAGGTTTGATGGGGCTTTAAGAAAGCCATTCTGTTCTCTCTCTGGTACCCCATTTGGGGTTCTTGCTGCAGGCGGTTTACTCTCAAATGGCCACTGGCTTGTGAGTGCTTCTCGTTTGCCAGTTCTATTAGAAATCTGGTCAAACTGTTTACCAAAGTAGTCAATATCACCATTTGAAGCACCATTACCCACCGGTGTCAAGGTACTCAGACCTTCCTTCTTCTGATCAGCAGATTCTAGAGAATCAAATGAAGGCTGTGCAGATTGGTCTGGTGGTGCAAAAGGATCATCACTGAAAGGGTCTGGATTAGGTGTGGGAAAGAAGCTGAGATTGGCAGAAAAAGAAGTCTCAGGCAAGAAAGGTGGCTGTGACTTTGGTTGTGGAAGAGAGGTCGTGATGCCATTCAAGAAGAGATCCTCTTTTGTAAAAGTCTGTTTGGTCTCAATTTCAGAGTTTAGATCCACTAACAGAATCTCTTTAGTTTCCTATTTGTTCAGAAAGAAAAATAGTTAGTTTTACATATTACTTGCTTCATAGTACATAAGTCTTTTTTTATAAAAAGGTAGCCTTGGTAGCCAATACTTCAGCATGAAGATCAGCATGAAGTTACACTAAAGCTTGGTTTTACAAGCCATAAGACATGCACTGAAAACACTCATGAGATCAAGGCTGCTGAGTTTCAGAAACTCCGTGTTAAAAGCACCAGTTTTAAGATTTAGTTTGGTACAAGACTTTTTTTTTTTTTTACTGTCTAGAGGCTATAAAGCCATTAAACACTAATTATACTTAAGCTTTTGCTGCAATCAAGCACACCCATTTGAGGTCTAGCCCTTTGTTTTAGCAAGCTGCAGTCACAATAAGACAACATGATTTCATAAGCTAGCACAGCCTAGCCTTCAGAGTTAAGATTAGAAAGCTATTCATAAGTGGAAAAAGTTGCATTCTGTCTCTCCACAAAGTAGAGACTAGAAGAACATCAAAACTGAGTCACTTGCTGGAGTGACACCTATTGCAACATTGACTAACAGAGAATTGTCTCTTTGCCAACTAGTCCCAAGTAAGCTCTGATGGCTAAGTCAAAAGTGGTATCAACTACTCCAGTTAGTAAGTAGGTCCTATTATAACTCTAACGCACTGGTATATTGATCATAGCTAGGCAAGTGTCTTGGTGAGACCAGAACTAACTTGGTGACAACAAGACTGACAAAAATCAAACAGATTTTAGTGGTAGGACCATTCTTGCTTTGCGGAAGTTTTAGATAGTTAAGCCAGGCTCTACTTACTGTGGGACTGGTCACATCAGGAGGCGTGGACATATCCCCAAACAAGTCCATCTGGTCAACTCCCTTGAAACCAGAAATATTGAAAGAATTTGCATCTGCTCTTGCATGAGCAAGAATTAAGCATTAGGCAGATCTACTACAAGCATAAATACCTATTTTCCCAAAAATCAGGAGATGGTGAGTTAAGAACTCAATGGTATCAGCATAAAGCTCTACAATTTCACCTACCAGTTTCAGTTTGTCAGCCTGATCAGCAGGTAGTGCCTCATTACCATTCTAGAATAGATGGACAACACTGTCAGTGATGACAGGAGTATCAAAACTCGCTTTAAACAAGAGACTTTCATACTTAGATGAGTAGATAATACAGAAGTGTAATACTGAGTAGTGATCTCCCATATTTATTCTATAGATCCCTTTTAACCCTATTTCCAATGGAACTTGTCAATGGGCATCTAACATTGCCTCTATACTGTTAGTGCCTATGGAAGTCAAGACTACCAGTGTCACAGCACCATACACTTTCAAGTGAAGCTGAGCCAAAGTTCAACTTACCTCAGTCTTACTGACTTCTTCACTCTGGAGAGAAAAAAAGAGATTTTAGCATCTGTATGTAGAGCCTTTTGCTTTGCAACCTTACCAGATGTATGAAGTCTTCAAGCTGTTGGTATTAAAACTACTAACCACTGACCTAAAACAACCCCAGGCCTAGATACTGAGACTTTATCAAGTCTTACAAGAATCCACAAGCCAAGTCAGAGCTGCAACAGGCTTTACATTTATAAGCTAGATTAGTTTACATAAGTTTTACTTGCCTTTTTCTTGTCTTCCTCCTCCTTTTTCTTCATATTATATATTAGCTGGAAGAGGTCCTTAAGGTCAACAACTAGAGGCTCAGCCTGGAGTAGAAGGAAAAGATTTTAGACCATGTGCCATACTGCAGCTTGCTTTGGAAGTCCAGGGAGCCACAGAAGTACAACAGTAAGATTGATACTCTTTAGGTTTTAGACTCTTGCTAAGGAAAGCAAGAGAACATAAAAGAGAACATGCAGTGTCCATGGATAGCAGGGCACAACAGGCACAGAATAGTTATCAACTGTTACTGTACCTTCTGTTAAGCTTTTTTTTTTTTTTTGGTGGAGGAAGGAGTGCTAAAAGCAGGTAGTGTAAGTGCAAAGCTATTTGATAAGAGTCTCCCAAGAAAAAAAAAAAAAAAAATCAAGTTGGTCATCCCTCTATTCCACCACTGGCCCCGGAGAAGTTTCTTAACAGTGAGGGTGACAGAGCACTGGAACAGGCTGCCCAGAGAGGTTGTGGAGTCTCCTTCTCTGGAGATCTTCAAACCCGCTTGGACGCAGTCCTGTGCCACGTGCTCTAGGTGTCCCTGCATGTGCAGGGGGGGTTGGACTAGATGACCTCTAGAGGTCCCTTCCAACCTTAAGCATTCTATAATTCTATGACTAGAGTGACCAAGGGAGTGGCAGACCCTGCCCAGAGGGGGCCCAGTTCCAAGTCACCTATTTGCAATTGGCTGGAATGGTTTGTGCTGTTGCTGAGATGGTGGTAGGTTAAGCCATATTACTCAACTGATTTGGAGCTGTTGCTTGAGGCATAAAGCAGCTGTATCAGTGTCTTGAACAGGACATGTCCTGTTCAGACACTATGGACACCTCTGACTTGATGCTGACAGGTAATGTGAGCCCTGTCCAGAAGATCCTTTGATCATTTTCTTACTCATTGATTCTAGATACACAATCCCAGGGAGAGAGATTTCAAGAGTTGATTTCCACAAGCAGTACAGCCGCAGCAGTCTAGAGCTATTGAAGTCCTTCTTAGTCCCTAGCTAGAGAAGTTTGGATGTCAGAAACAGCAAGTAGAAAGACATTTATAGTTTGATTAATCAGCATTAACATCTAGCCCCAGGAAGCCCTGCTAATAGTTTAGTCCTTTCTATACAGAGGAGCAATAGACATTAACATCAATATATAGCAATGGTTTTCATCTTGTTCACCTTCATCTTTGAAGTCTACAATAAAAACACTTCATGCTTACTGCAATTAATTTTGCTGATCTTATCCATATATAGTGGAAGCCATTAGTCAGAAACTGGAACCATCCGTGCTGGTGTTCCCCTACATCTCATACAGCTACAAGTAAAACTCTAGACAGATTAATCAGTTGTTAAGTTTTCATGCTATAGCAAGGAAAGAGGGACTTAAATTCCTACCTGCTGTGCTGTTTTTATTGCAAAAAACTGGTGCTGGCCTTCTCCTCCACAAATATAGCCAAAGGCCCGGTTGTCTGTTACATCCCGAGCAATAAAGGAGATTTTGTTCACAGGATGCTCATGCTCTATAACCTAGAATCAGGAAAAAAAAATTAAGCACCTGTTTGAACTGCAGAGGACACTATAGCTGCCCTTCACTATAGCCCAGGTGAAAGAGACTCTCAGATGCCTCCACTTTAAGACTAACTTTTCAGGTTTTCATAAGCCACAATAGGATGCTGGAGTCTCCTGACAGAAGACAGCTATGTTACAACCTATTCCCTTTCCAGCATCTCAGAAGGGACCCCCCTCCAAAGTGCCATTAGGCACTAGTTTAAGTTAGTCTAGCTCTCAAGTTTCTCACTTTTTGAGCCACATTATAACAATGGAGTCATTTCTTACCCCCGTTTTCTCATCCATTATCTTGATACCAGAGAGAGAGATGTTTAGCCATATCTTCTGTTTGTGCTGACCATGGGAACGGGCTGCCACTGCCATTCCCTGGAGAGAACCAGTATTGAATCACTGATGAGAATTCAGTTGTTCTGTGCCTTAATTTGCCTCTTTAGCTACTCGTGAGCCCACACTGTGTCTCTATTAGAGTTATTCCAGTTACTTCTATGCAACTCTGTTGTTAGAATAGCATTGTGCTTGCAACATGCCTGACTACGTTAGAAGCAACAACTCAGAACCCGATTTTAACTTTCCTTTGTTAATATTTAAGAGTTTAAAGCTTTCTATCTTAGTTCACAAGACTGCTGCTGCAGCAGCAACCTTATCTGATCAATACAGCCTCCTGGCCTGAATGAAGCTATGCAAGGATTCTGCTTTCCAAAAATAGAGTTATCTTGGTTGCTGCAGTTTCCTGTTTATTTTTTAATTCATCTATGTCACCAAATTTATTCATCTATGTCACCAAATGTTTACATTGCCATAGTATATCAGCTTGTGCTTTGCATTCTTATATAAAAGTTGTCCGGAGTTTTCTGCTCCTCTAAGTGTGGATAAAGTCCACACTTGAGCACCCAATATGAATGATAACAAGAGACCCATCATTAGGGAGCACTGCAAAGACATTAAAGAGGTTTGATGAACTGCATTTAAAACCACTGTCCTTTGAGCAGCAGGTTACAAATGTAGAGGCAGCTTCTATCTAGGGTACTGCTGTTAATACCATTAAGTCATAATTTACCATTGTCTCAAAGTGAGCGTTTGATCTGCTTTCTGAGGCAGAAGGGAACATATTCCTCACATTACCAGCTCAAGCCTTTACCTTCAGCTTCATCATTGAATCCTGACTCATTTTGTCGCCTCTTGCTTCTGGGACATCATCAATGCCAATTAGTTTAGCTTTGTATCTTACACCATCACCTTTGAATCTAGCCAAGAGAGATTCATTTGTCTTTTCTGACCCTGGAGATAGAGAAAAGTTTAAAAAAGTCTAAGCTGTGGCTTTGAGAGTTTATTACAAAAAATACATCTGCTATTAATATTTAAAATTGTCTCTTAACTGTAACTTACTCTGCTCACAGACCTTCCAGCAATGCATACATTACAAGGTAAGTTTTTACTCCTTTAAAGTCATAGCGCTCTTGCAGAGTTCAGCCTCTCTTCAAAGAGTGGAGCCCAATGCTTAATATTTGGGGACCACATGAAAGCATTCATCACATGATGGATAGAAGACTTAAAGATTTATAGGGACCAGCCAGTTAGTTATGACCACTAGGTAACAACACTAATCAAAAGTAGTACTTATGCCTAGCCTGAATGTTGAGTAAATCTTTCAGATGACAGTCTCTTTTTTTTTCCATCTAATGTTCATCTGGGTGGCCTAGTACAGTCACAGCTCTTCTTAACCTGCATCAGTTTAGCTAGGCACTGTGCTAAGACTTTCCATCAGTATTGTTACCTCTAAAACAAGTCCTAGCACCTCCATCCCAATAATCACTCAGGATTTTGCTGTATTTGCTTTCTCTGTTCCTTCTACTTTCCTGAACTCCTTTGTTTTACTCTCTGAATACCCGTGTACTTAGTGGGTACCTAGATTTTCTCTACCAAGGTGTTTGCATGACCTAACCTGTCCAAAGCCTGTCATATGATTTGCAGAGTTCTCCAGCTTCTCTGAGCTTAAAACTATGTGTGCAGCATGTCACACCTCACTCCCTCTTGGGCAGCAAGCATGTGTCTGATCACAGGTTCACACTGGCAGCTACCTGGATGCTGCTGGGACAGGAGCTACCTTGTAGGAAGCCTTTAATTTCCTCCAACTCTCAATGGCTTGTTAAAGCTCCTGAGCCTGACTATGAGAACAGGAGTCAGGAACTAAAACCTGGAAAATGCTTTCAAAGGTTAAAGCCTACCTTCTGGTTAGATTTTACTAGTTTGTTTATTCATTCCTTCAGTCAGCATGAAACCTCAGAGTTACTGTCACTATATAATGAGTCATATTCTGGATTTAGGCAAGTACAAGAAATTTAAGACCTTTATAAAAGAAGTACTCAAGTTCCCTACCTTTCTTTTTTTCTTTCTTTGAAGATTGTGTTTTTGGTGGAGCCTGCTGCTCAGGCTGGCTGCTCATAGTAGTAGTTTCAGCTTCAGTAGACATGATGAGATGGTGGTCAGCTATGCTTGATGTGATTTAAGTCCAAAGAGCAATCAGTAGGCAGGCATAATATTTTATCTTGGGAGAGAAAAAAAAAAAGTTGTTAGACCTGTTAGTTAAGAGGTTTTTTTGCTGAATAATCAAGTCTAGTAAAGCATGACAATTTTAGCAGTAGGTCATACAGAAAGTGTGAAGACCAAGAAGTTGCACCTAAAGGCTGTAATTACATCACTGTGTTTGAATTTGTCAATCTTTTTTTTTTTTTAAATTAAAAAACACCTTTGAAGCTATTTATAGCACTTCAAGTATATTGCTAAATTCTTCTTCAGCATTGCCAGCACTGATTCAGTAAGATAGAAGAGAATGCAAGAAATTTGCTATGATCTGTTTGAATACACTTAGGAAGATAAGAGTACTCAAAAGAAACCATTAAGTTTCATTCATGCTTCTGTAAATAATGGAAGTCTAAGGTGATAACACTAAATAAGTAAAAGCAAATGAATTCCTTAAGCTGCAAACCAAAGTTCTGTTCTAGGGGGAAAACTTGTTTTTTGTTTGTTTTCTGAACAGTATCCAAATGATCTTAAGTTTTTCACACCCCTCCCTCCCAAAATATATCCCATAAAAAGATAGGACGAAAAACAGTCTTTGACTGCTCTTCACTGCATTTATTTAGAAACTTAGAGAAAGAAAAGGCAGTATTGTGACTGAATCAGTAGTTATTTACCCACTCTAATCCAAAGGGTTACTTGTTTAGAAAAACTATTGCAGAAGGACAGGACACAAATGGAGCTAAAACCAGCTCTCTAGGATGCTCTGTCCAGAAAGCAGCAGCAACCTCAAGGTGCCCTAAACCTACCTGCTAATGACCCTGCTCCATGATGCAGTTGGGGAATCACTCACTGTGCCTATAACAGTCAGAGCTGAGCACATCCAAGTTTTACATCAAAGTCAAATACAATAACAGATATCCTAGAAAGGGCCAAATATGCACAAGTACCTTGACAAATGTGAAGTTCTACCACTTTAGGCTGCCATCTTGAAACTCTATTCACTCATGCCTGCCTTGAGTCTGTGGAAGCCATTTATTTATTTGCTTGCAGCCACACAGCACAAAACGCCAAAGCGGAAGACAGTGAATAGGAATACATAGAAATTTCAGTTTCTCCACAGTGAGCCTTGGACATTTGCAATGATTCACCTATTTTTTTGTCAATACTTTGAGAAGAAAATCTGAGAATTTTCCAGACAGTTTGTTTAGAGGATATTTTCTCCCAACCCTTATTTTAGATCTGTTGCAGCTCATCTCACCTGGCGAGGCCTGTCAGACCACAGGAGTCATTTATCATACCTCTTAACAGCTCAATACCTTTAGGAATAGCCTAACAGGCAAGCAGGAATACAGAAAAGGTACTTTTATACATGTTAATATTTTAACTGACTAGCTCTTATATATTAACTACAGGGTGAAGACTAGCCCATAACCCCCTTAGGCTTTGCTCTAAGTTTTCCATGCGCAAAAAGTGTAGCTTGAGTGAGTAGTGATCTAATCTGCTTTGGACTACTGAGGTCTAAGCCACAGTTAAGTCTGTTCATGCTTTAGCTGTGCCACACTTCCTTTTGCTTACTTGCATGCCTATGGATGCACATAAACATTGTGTAGGCTACACAAGCACTTTTTAATCAAGACAAATTTGTGTCAGTAGCTTGTCCTCTTGTTAGAGGCCTCCTTTTGCAGCAGTCAATCCCTTAAAACTTCCTTATGCAGGCTGCAAGAATAAGGTAAGAAGAGATCAGATCTCTGCTGTTACACCCAAATTCTGAGCTTATCAGAAAGTCAGCCAGCACAGTATGACAAGGTTAGAGATGCGAGTGCTTTAACTGAAAGCCAGTTGCCTTCAGTTATACTGGCATAGCCAAAAGCAAGATCTTTCCCACAGCAACTGTCAGTAGACTGCAAAGTGATGTCTTTTGTATCTTCTCCATGTAGATAAGTCCATTGTTATCACCAGATTGAGCTTAACTACTCACTCCACAATTGTATGTATGGATGATTTTAATTGCTAGGTTCAATGCGCTATTTCTGACATCTTAGACTACAGGTTTCCCCTTGATGTTACCATCTTGGTGCATATCTACTGATACAGACTCATCTCCCATGTTCTACTCACTCATTTACATTTTATTGTACTCCAGCAAAGTTAACAGGCTGTTGATGGCCATCTCCCTCTTTTCCTGCAGGCTCACTTCTGCAAGGAGTGGGCACTGTTCAGTCCTCAAAAGTGACCGTTTCAGACATTCAGCTATGAATTCATATATTCAAGTCAGGCAAATGATCATTCAACTATTAGTACTGAAGTTTCTCACATTTGTCCTGGGAAAGTCAACCATAACGCTGTGAGTAGACTCTGCTTTGATGTTTAAGAATTCTGTAAACTCCAACAAGGAGGGCTATTGTCAGTGACAAGGCATCCTAGAAATATCGAGAACTGAAACATACTCCACACAGTTGAGCGGAGCAGTATTTAATTGCCCACATCTGAGGCAAATGTACTAAGGTGCTGCCTATCCCAAATAGTTAGATTTTATTTCTACATAGTTGCACAAGGAATTGAGTCTTCATTGTAGCTGTAATCTGCCATGAGATTTATAAACCAGGCAATAGTCTTCTGCCAATAGAAAGGCTTTTTCCTCATCTATCACAGCAGACAAAGATCACTGTGTACTGATGAAAGCTTGTGTGAAAAGAGGTTAGAAACACTGAGATGTCAGAGCCAAAATATCATAAACTAAATATCTGCTCAGCAGTCTAATGCTTTGTCCTTTTCACAGCCAGTGCTCTTCCTTTGTCCCTTGATCCTGCAAGTACATGATTCAGCTTAAAGAGTTATTGCATGTAAATATTAACCTCAAATTAGAATCTGAGAGGCCAGGAGAGGACAAAAGTAGCTTTTACTGCCAAATCCAATATATCCTGTTGGGAAGTAGTAGTAACCGGAAGCACAGCAACAGCCCAAGTGTTGAACACACTTCCCCTAGCCCATTTTTCTTTTCCCCTTCCTTTGAAGGGTTGGTCATGTTCTTCTAACTAGAAGCTTGTATCAGGACCTGTCAAATACATCCTGAGAAACAGAACCATTAAGTTCTCAGCAGAAGAACTATCTTCAGGTTGATAAACAAGTTCTCCACTCAAGTGAGCATGTTTCAAGACTTCAGTTTTGTACACTGGAGATAAGACAACACAGGATGACAGCAATACATAAAATGCCTAGCAAGAGTCAAAGCTGCAAGCCAGCTATATTTTCTAATAATGGACAGTCCTGACTAGCAGGATTCTACTTGTTGAAGTATAATAGTGCATGCATGTGAGTGCCTATATGACTGATCTACAGTCATAGCGATGCACAGAGATTTGTTAGATGTGAATATACTGCATTTTCTGCTTAGTTCCTGCCATGATGGTAGTGCCCCGAGAAACTCCAAGAAGCATTAAGCATGCATTAATGAATCAGAAATATGAATGCATTATTCAGACATCTGCCTTTTGAACAAGATCAGCTGCGCTGGGAAGCTGAATAAAATATCATTTCAAGCGTTTTGTTTCATTACCAGAACATCCTTTGCTCTTACATCTTCCGTGTACAAGAGTCCATGAATAGATTTCCTATAACATGACACAAGGTTATTATGGTTTAGATAGCAAGTAAGCAGAATTTCTTATCTGATGCAAACAATAACATTAGATGTCTTCCTCTACTAAAAAGCAACCAGACTAGCCCACTAGAATCTAGCATAGCCAAGAGCTAACATATGTGGAAAATATTAGGCTAACCTACAGGTTGGGCTATACTTAATATGCAGTGTTCACCCTGACACATAGTGAGTACTTGCTTGAATACAAGTACTTGAAGAGAGTTCATAGACAGCTTTGGTATTATTCCTCCAAAACTTATGTCATGTCTGGAATGCAAGAATAGTATCACTTGCCAAAAGATTAACAAAATCTCCTTGGCACCTCCCGTGACGCCAGGACTAACTCAAGTGTCTATAGTTAGTCTGATAAAAGAGGAAAGGACATTAGCCTAGCTTGTCTGACAAGGGCAATTATCAGTCCTCTTCTCACAGGGTAAGGTCTAGACTAGCAATGCCCACCCTGTTCAGGTTCTTCAGCAGTTCTTTAAAGGGAGGGAGGCCAAGATCAGTGGTTTTACTGTAGGTATCAAAAACCCTATTCTGCTACCTAATTTAGACCATTGGTACTTGATCTTTAACAATCACATTTGTTTGGCCAGGTCCCAACACCAACAGGACAACTGTCTGGCTTAACCTAGAGTTTTTCTAGGTTACTAGAATACAGGGATCTGCTCAAATATTCCCTTTCCCCTACATCCATTAAGCTTCCTACTTCTTCCATGCAGCTTGCTAGCTTGCTTTAAAGCTCTCCTTAATGCTCTGCCATCTCACTTAGATGAGAGCAGATCAATACTTTACAGAGGTATTAAGACAGCCTTGTATCAAGGGCTCCTTTCTCAAAAATTGCCTTCTGGAGTAAGCTACAGCTGCACTTGTACTTACTGCAAAATTGGGCGTGCTGGGTGACCAAGGCTACGTTAACTATCAGTAATGAGAAACAGGGAAAGGCAATAGTCATCTGCTTGGTAGGAGTGTGGTAATGGACATCTCAGGGAATACTTTTGTCATGATGCTCCCTGCCCTCCAGCTCCTAGTGCAAGGCAGATAAAATCTTTAATATGCTAATTAGTCACGTCAGCTGCATATGTTGGCATTGCTGGTGCAGGATCCTGCCTGTGAACCTCTACCCAGACATCTTAACAAGCAGCAGATACACCAAGATGATATTGCAATAGCTGAGCAGAACATCATGTTCTCATGATAGCAGTGCATTCAGTCTCCTATGCTGCTTGGTTTTAAGAAAAAAATAAAATAGGTTTTAAAGCTCCTGAAACCACTAAGTTAACAGCCAGACCTGAGCAACCACTTCAGCTCAAGCAATGCAATCAGACTGGTACTTTTGCTATTGTACCATGTCCAAGAACATCATTACTAATCAGACAGT